AACGCTATTGCCGTCCCTTTTGCGATGTGCTGGAATTCGTTACCGAAATTCGTCAAGAGGATGTCTGTGCACCCGTTTCGCAGCTGGATAATCCCTCGTGCCACACAAACGCCTCTTTTCAAGAAAACATCCACGTTGCTCTCCGCCACACCCTCGTAGTCGCTGAATGCATCATTATGCACGAGAACCATTATACTGCTCCGTGGCGGTACAGTCACATCATCGTCGACGACGCGCAGTGGAGTGGTACATCGTTCATCTGATCGTGCTACCTTTAAAGCTTGCTCCGTCGAAAAGGACACGCTCGACCTCTGTAAATTGATAATCGCACCATTAGCTTGTAGGAAATCCATTCCCAGTATCACTTCCCTCGAGCACACAGGCAGGACGACAAAGTCACCGACGTAAGTGAAGCCCCGTATCATGACCCTTGCGGTACATCGGCCGGAAGGGGTTATGAGGTGACCACCTGCAGTACGTACTTGAGGTCCACCCCATTCGGTCAGAACTTTCTTGAGTCGCTTCGCTAATTCGTAACTTATCACAGAATAATCCGCACCAGTATCGATCAAAGCATTGAGCTCTAGTCCGTCAATCACCAACGGCAAGTCTGAAGTAATTTTCTCTGTACTGCACTCCTTTACCTGGAAACAGTCGTCGTTATCAGGCTCGTACCGCAGTGGAGGATCTTCATATCCCAAGTCGCCAGCGGCCTCGCCTCCACAGGTCGCCCTCTTCAGTTTCCCGGATTTGGGCTAGGCGAACGCTGCCTAGACGTGCTTGGGAAGGGACGTGGGCTAGACGAGCGGTAGCGCATAGGGGATGGTGAGCGTGGTTGATGACGACGAGGCGGGTCAAATTCCCGACGTGAGCATAGGTATTCTTCAATCTCGGAAGGTCTTTCGCCGTTTCGCGGACACGGTGCATTGATGGCGAATCCCCTAAGACCAGCTTGACGATATCGGCAGAATCGGTACAGGTGGCCAGCCTCTCCACAGTGGAAACACAAGGGCCTACGTGTGGCATCTCGCCACACATCGCTCTTCCGTGGCATCATCTCTCTCGCACGAGGTGGAGTGCGTGTTGCCTCTACGATTTCAGGCGGGCTGCGCATTGTCTGCACATAAGTACTTGGTGTCTCGATCGGCGAACAGTGCAGAGTAGGTCGCCTGAGCACCTCGGAGTACGTTACCGCCCGTCGTGTCGCCGGCACATCACTCCGCGGCTCCCGCATGGCCTGTCGAATTTCGTCTCGGACAACTTCAGCAAGAGACAGCTCGGGGGTGACATCAGGTGACTGCAGTTTCCTTAATTCTTCCCTGACAACAGACCGGACGAGCTCGCGCAATGTGTCAAGATTATCCACGACGCCTGCTGAGTAGACTCCTGCGGATGCACCGGCTACGTCGCGGTTGTACTGTCGGGCTCTCTGCTGAAGCGTCGTTTCGATGGTTGTTGCTTCCGACCGAAACTCAGCAACAGTACGGGGCGGATTGCGGATGAGTCCCGCGAACAATTCTTGCTTTACCCCGTGCATGAGGTGGCGCACTTTCTTGTCTTCCGTCATGCCAGGATCAGCTCGCTTGAAAAGGCGGGACATGTCTTCGATGTACATCGCGACAGTTTCGTTCGTTCGTTGAATCCGTGTGCGGAGAGCTGCTTCCGCCTTTTCCCGGCGATCACTGTTGGCGAACGTACTCAGTAGCTGCCGCCGAAACTCTTGCCACGACGTCAGAGATGCCTCGTGGTTTTCGTACCACACTCGTGCAGAGTCTTCCAACGCAATGTAGACGTTACGCAGCTTGCCTTCCTCGTTCCACTGATTTAGATTTCCCACTCTCTCGAAATGCTCTAACCAGTCTTCGGCGTCCTCGTATGGGTCACCATGAAACACCTTTGGGATGACCGGTTGGCTTACGATGAGTTGTGCCGGCGTAACTTGGCTCGTCATGGTGGTGGCGGCGCTTGTCTCCGTCACCGATGCCCTTGATACAGAAGGGAGTGGCCCAAATTCTGGCAACTCTCCTCGGATACGGCGGCTGACTCGTTGGTGCACCGGTGTAAGCTCCACTGGTTGCGGCTGGTCAGTGCTTGGACTTCGCTCTTGCGTGGGGCTCGGAATCATGTACCCAGGCTCCTCCACCAGAAAATGTAACGGATATAACAACCTCACACCCGGGACGTCCTATTTACAAGGTTTAATAAGGGCGAACTTGTGCCCAAAGCCAAAAGAACTACACAGTAGCTGGGAGAAAACAGCGAACGCTCGTCGTCCTCTTCTTCTCTTCTTTTCCGCTGCTCGGTAGCAGCTCGTGCACAGGCTGGGCCGGCTCGTGCCTTCCGGCGGGCTTCATGAGTCGTAGCGATGCCGTCAGCGTTCCTCTTTTAACAACGTCTGCGTTGTACTGCGCCTTAACAATTCCTCGTGGCATTATGATGCACTACTGTCGTGAAAACAACTTTTGAGGCTAAAAGGGAAGGTGTTGATTCATATCCCTGTGCACTCCTGACATAGCGAGAGATCGGCATTTGGTGATCACGCTGAAGACTGCTTCTATACGCTTGAAGCAGAGCTGCGCTTTGTCACTGTCTAATCAGACTAAGCTTTTTTTTTTTTTTATACAGTCAATGATGGCTCACATAGTGGACACCATACTTAAATGCCAGTTGCAAGCATCACAGCTATTTTTGGCCGAAACTGACTTTCTGAGTGTATTATACTTGTCTTCTTGCTTTCTAGTAATGCCATAAAAAAATCACTGGAGAAGGATCATGGTAGTTTCACTGCAACAAATCAGGTGCAGTTGTTTCTGTGTAGACAATCCCAGCTTGAATTGAGAAATGGTTAATTCATAGGTTTAGATCAATCATACAAATAAAAAATACCGATGAACATGTGAAAGTATGTGCAGTACTCATTAACCTAACATAATATTGAAGCACATTGAATAATCTAATATAAGGGTACACATCATGCATGCTACGTGTAGAGTGTGTAAGAGCCCAGAAGTAATTAAAATTAAAAAACTCAAATCTACACTATGTAACATTGTGCCTTATCAAAATAACGCTGTCACTTCTCAAAGAGACCGACAACCAAATTTCCTGGTACCAGGTTTTTTAGCATAACGAAAAACTTATCGGTCGTAATGTCTAATCGCAAAACGGTAAGTTAAAGAACTTTGTGGAACATTAATAATTCAATTTATTGCACACCGGCCACTTTGAAGTCCTATATGTACACACAACACATACTGTAGACAGTGGTAGATGAGCTCGAGAACAGTTCGTGCTTGTGCCCGGCATTTTGCTGCTCATTGCCTGCACTATGCATACATTTGGCACAGCCTGGTTGCCACAAAGGCAGCACCGCTTCTCAACGTGAAACTTTTTTTTTACCTCGTCAGCAATATGGATATTAATAATACAGCTTCAAGGCTTTTCCACGAGGCTGTATGGCATGCCAGTTCTTGCGACTTTTAGACGTGATTAAACCCTTTGACATGCTGTGTATACAATTATGTACGCCACTCGTATTTGTTGTTTGTATGCACTAGGAGCTAAGAAAGAGCAAGGTACATTGAACTTCGTATGCATGTAATTTTCTGCATACTAAATCTGTGTTGATTTAACTTCACTATGTAGCATTTTGTTGTATATGATCACATTACTGAAGGCACTGCCACATTCTATGTGTCGTGCAATGCGCCACTTCTCGCAACCCACATGGAAGTATAATTTTTCTTTGCTCAGCATTGATATAACTGAAAAACTGATTTATGTGAAAACTGAGTATAAATGGCTTCAGAATAATGTACATCATTTTCCAATCATGCTGAAGTGCCACTATCTTGGACTGATAACAAGTTTATATCCATATCAAATGAACAAACAGGTCTACGGTGAACTCGCACGCAGGATAACACTTAGGCCGATACATTCAACGTCCTATCACGATAATTTCATATTACATAGAAATGGGGAAAACAATTGCTTATCAGTGCAAGATGTCAGTGTCTATGAATCACAAATAAAATCATGTAGTATATTTAATTACAAATGAATCAAGAATGGGTATGGTAACACAAATAAATGTACTATGTCTTTGTGTTGTTTTGCAATATAATTCTGAGTGTCCTAAAATAACTTTGTATTGATTTGAGGTATTTACAAACAGCTCTTCATAGATGGCATCTGAAAGGGTTAAAAAGATAAATGCTATTCGGACTATGAAAAAGATGCTTGAATTCAATACTATAATTCAGGGTCTTTTCATTTCTACCAGGATGTAGTCACACATTCTGGCCAGTAGTCGGTTCCTTTGAAAGCAATTTTTGCTATGGTGTTTCACATTTACTAGCAGCATGCCAAAAGCCACTTTTCATGGATTCGGTTGAAGTTAATCAATAATTTTGCTACAGTGGTGTCACTCATACATTGTTACACAGATCCACATCTTCCCAGCACACACATAGTGTTTCATTTGAAAATTAATGCTAAAGATTATTGTGTTAAAATTTGTGAAATTAGTAAACTGTAACAACTCCTGTTTAGGTGTAGCATTGTAAAATATGCTAAAGTACATGCAAGATGTCAGTTACACATCATCAGGATCTTGTTCATTAGTACACATGAAGAAACTTGTGTATTTTTTACTTTATGGACACAATTGGTCAGTGTGTCATGGTGTTTTTGTTTTACAAAAAGTGTGTTTATTACATTGAGTGTTACTTTATTTGCATTAGATCGCAACAAATGGTTTGTGCCACGCTTCACGTCTACTCAAGCTTGCTAGCATACCAAGTTGCCATGTGAATCATTTCTGCTTGTGCTTGCTGTCTCTTTTATCTTCCACGTAGGAATGAAAGGCATGCCGAAGGTGTAGTAGGCTTTAAGTAAGGATTTTTTTTTACCTTATGTTCTCTATTCGAAGTTAGCAATGTAGTGTCCAGCCTGGCTTCTGATAACTTTGCCATCTTTCTGTGCCTTCATGCATGCAGATTCTGGCTGTCACGTGCTATCGAAAGTTATCTGCGTGGGTGCACCAGTAGTGCTGATCAAGACTTCCTCCTTTCCAGAGGCCTTCTGCAGGTATGTGCTGTACCTATTAGCCCTTGGGGCATTTGGCATCCTCCCTTTGACAGTATATGATATAATGAGGGTGTCTATTAATCAGGAATACTGGTATTTAAGTGTGAGAAATAAAAGTTTTCTAAACTCGAGAAATTGGTGCTTCACTGTGTGGTGTCTCTGAAGAGCTGCGCTTGAAGGAAATGGACACGTTACACACTTTTGTACAACAAACATGGGTACATTTATTAGCAGCTTTTATGCAATGACAAGCTTGTGTGTCTAATCTTACAACTAATCTCAGTAACATAAAAAATAACCCAATTAATTTCAATCTTAAACACTGAAAAAATCTTACCAACAATGTACCATGAAGGCAGCCTCACTGACATTCGACTTGCCATGGAAGTCAGCAAGATAAGCCGTGGCATTGTCCCCCCGAACCTCCCGTGAGCAACAATCGTCAAATCACGTGCCAGGTCTATATAGAGAGTGTTCTCTGTGCACTCACCTAATCTCTTTGACGGAGAGATGAGTACACTAACTATGATGACCCACCAGACGCACGTGCATCGCGAGGCAAAAATGGCTTTACTGGGGGTGATAATTCCACAACCCATAAATTGGCTACCCTTTGCAATACTCTTGATTCAATCTCTTTTGTTTCTTTCTCCATGCTTGAATCGCAGTCATGCCACTGGTGAGACTATCAAAAGAGAAAGTGCTTCATATTCAGCTTGTATAGAAGACTTTCAATTACCTCCAGTATCTCCTTGTTTCATTCTACTATTCTGGCAAAGTGGCAGAAAGTGTTGCAGTGCTTATAACATATAATGCAGAGTATGCACTTCTTGAAGGGCTTGTAAACAGGCCCCTACTTTTTTCTTACTCCTTCTCATTGAACTTGCTCATATGTAGAGAAGGCTGCAGCGCTCACATTTATTGAATATCCACGCATCTTCACCAAGTGAAATCCATGAATCTCTACGAAGTGAATGATGACTTATGAGCAAAGCACTGGGCAGTTAAATGACCTGCCCACTTGGCATGTAAATGAGTGACAACGTGTTTCTCCAGTATATGCAATGTTTTATTGGTCGTAACTCGTATGCTGTGCTGAGTTCTGCATCTTGTTGTGCCTTGATTATTACTGTTTTGTGGTTTGTAAAATGTAGAGTCAATGATTCTTCGATGGGATCTAGCCCTAAAATGGCAAAAACAAGGCCTATGCACGTTTTCTTTGTATTTAGGTATTTTGAGAGGTGTGTTTTCTAGGTACTTCAACCACAGGTGAATGTTGAGTTTCTTGACCAGGCTGCACTTGTACAAGGGCTTGCTTATCAGCTTTTTCTTTATGCGCACGTCGATGGCTGTGTCGTCGGGTATGTTTCTAGGTAGGCATTGCACCATTTTCTGAATGTCTATCGGAACATTGAACTCTTGACCTTTGATTCGGTACTGCCCGTAGCCTGCATTAAACGCCAAATGCAACAAAATTTTGCACACCCCAAATAGGCGGTTTAGCTTGGGATAAAGCTACCTGCCAAATTTCACCTTCAAAATGCGAGTGGCTTCCTGAGAAAAAAAAAAACTCATCAACAAAAGAATTTTCGATACTGAAACTAGAAAAAAACGACACCATAACAACTGACTGGCTGTGACGAAGACTGCAGCTTGACAGACCGACTGATGAAGACAAATTGCCTGCTCTGTGCTCCGAACTATATGCTTCAGTGCCCTAAAGTTTACTTTTCAGATCGTAGCACAGAAACAAACCATGTAAACAATCATCGCTAAAGAAACACGAATACAAGCTTATAAAGGTTCATTAAAGTATGAACGGCTGGCTGCTTCTTACCTATCGTCTCATCCTGCTGTCTTGGAGAACTCGCTGGTTTACAATACATGATGCTACTAGTTTATGTATTAGGCATTCTCACTTCGTTAATAAGCTTCGTACGGTGAGACAGTGCTGTTTTTAATGTCGATGCTCAGTTTGGTATGCTCCTATATCTATCAAAAGTGTCCGTACAAATGCTTCTCTGACTGCACCTAAAGCATTTACATTATACCAAAGTCCTTCAATGCTTTACTGGTCACGAAACTTCGGGGCTAGTTTCATATAGGGTCCGCGGGCGCCACCGTCGCACTGAGGGGATCCAGCTGACGCGCGTGCGGCATATTTGCCAGCTTTTGGCATGAAAACGCTTGCTGCTTCTGGTCTCTGCGCGCTGGGTTTCTTTTTTTCTTTTCGTAGTTGTTAACGATGAATCGCCCAATTATTGTGTATACCACCTGCCTCCAATGGGGTTTTATTTTTTCGAATAAATCGCCGCAGATCTCGGCCACGAACGGCAACTGCTTTTCGCGTCTTTGGGCGCAAGCGCTGCGCCGTGTTTACCGATTTTAAAATATCTTTTGTTTGTTTCCTTCAAGAAAACTTTGTAACCACAATACATACGGTAGCTCCGTAGCTGCGGACTGCTGCGGGCCTATCAATAATGCAACGAAAAAAAAAAACTGAAAAGAAGCAGGTACGCGTCCTTCAGAGTAGTTAATGAATCTGTTGAGTGCTCTGGAATGCGCTGAGCACCCAGATACCCCAGTAATATTCTCTTTTCGATGAGGTGGTACAGTAACATTTAAAAGCGCTGCATAAAGGGAAAGGATCAAAACACGAAATGATGTATGTTGCACTGTGTGTCTTTCCGCGAACCCGCTTTTCAATCCTTGCAAAAAAGGAAGCACAAACTTTTATCACATGCTACAAAAATAAATTTCAATATTATGAAGGGAGACAAAAGAGCGTGGTGCAGCGTACAAAAATTTATTGTTTGCGCTTTGATGTGTAGCACACGGACGAAACAGAATATTGCCACGCAACAAAGACAAACGTAAAGTTCTACTGAATGAAGTTTATTAAAGCGAACTCATGCTCTGCAAAAGACTAGAAGGAAACGCAAACGTCAAAGAAGCAGTCCGCAGCGTGGCCTGCACAGAAGACATCGATAAAGTGAGTCACGCGGCATTTGCTATGCATGAATTGCTCTCGGGACGTCATTAATTTTCGATCCATGAAAATAGGGTCGAGAATATTTTCGAGCAAACAAGAAATCAAGTTAGTGACAAGGTGACAACCTTTCCATATCAACAATATTGGCCAATGCGACGTACAAAAAAAAGAGCAAACGGGCGCTTCAGTTGAAACACCAGATAAAAAACCGGAAGCGGCCACGCATGGTTACAAAACAAAAAATGAATCCTGAGCGATAGTTCGTGGAAATATTAAAAGTGAAAGCACAAAGACACCAGAAAGGTTTTTTTGCATGCGAGCCTGACCACAAGGTTATAAAGTTTGCAAACAAGTTAGGAAACACAGCTACTATTTTACTGATCAAACAAAAATCCGCCTATAAGTGAGCTATACAATTATAGGTCCAGGAGGCTGGCAAAGGGCTGCTTTGCCTTTACACTACTCCTTCAGTTTGGCTTTCTCCCTCCACCAGCTGGGCATGTTGCTCGCTTTGTCACACCTGACTGCTTATTTTTTTCGCGTGCGTGTGAAAAAATGCAGGCGGCACCGAAGAAAAAAATGTAGAACTTCAGCAGTCGTCCCAACAAAGTGGGTGGGGCAGCCGACAGCAGCTGAAGCTGTACGATTGTCCAGCAAAACCTGCTCAACAATGCCCATGTACACACCAGCACACGCAGTTTGCTTCACCGTAAATTCTTCTACATGCTCTTCAGCAATTTGGAGGAGGTTTAGCAGTTTGGTGGAGGGGACCTGAAGGTAACCTCTCGACTTCACAAGAATGAGGTCACTTGGTGATCGTTGCAAGCCTTTTAAAGACTCCACGCAGTCGGTGCAGCACATCTCAGAAAATTTTTGGGCAACATAGCCGGCAAGGTAGTCTAAAATACACTCCTTTGGAGACAAGTCCGCGAGGGCCTCTTCCTCACTCTCAGTCGGCTCCAAAAGAACGTCATTCAGGAGAATGGCCAGGGAGTCAACCTGAAACGAGAATTTTTTTTGTTTACATGCATGTTCGTGGAAAAATATCATGCAGAGGTAAATGATGAACTCTGTGCATATTCTGAGTGAACATCTGTTAAGCAGCTCTTCACCGGAAAATATATTTCAGATGGAGAAACTATCAATAGCTCTTTTCTTTTCAATATGGCATCGTACATGATTGACAGGAGCAGCTTCCTTGTTGAAGAGGTCCTGCAGCTTGAACAGCAACTGCGGCCCGTCACCATCAACTGATGCCCGCTTGGGTGGGCGGACAAGGTTGTTGACCGAAAGCATTCGGTATATGAACAGGAACTGTTGAATCGTTGGTTGCCCTCCGTCACCAGCAACGTGTCTCGCAATGCCAAAAAACCTCTGAAAGTGAGACAACAGATTAGTCAATGCAGAAATAAAAAAGCTTACATGTTTACCTCAAGAAGATCCTGTCCGAAATTTTCAACCAGCACATATCGAAAACCTGAGGCCAGAAGGTTATCCACAAGTGTGATAGTACTGAGTAGGGTTACTCGCAGCGCTTCAGACGTGGGCTTGGTGAGGAAGCAGGCTTGCCTTTGCTTCGGCAAACTCTCAATGTAATTCCAACAGTTGTTCAGCCATGTCACGTTCTCTTTTAATGTCTGAAAAATATTCATGTTACATCTGTAACAATAAATAAAAGCAGGATACCCATAATAACATATAAAGTCTCGAGTGGTATTTCTCACTGCAATGTGCTCCGCTTCGTTATACTGCACGTGCTCTGGCCTCCGAGAATTCAAGCAGTCAAACGGGCCGTTCATTCGTCTGGTGAATGCCGCGGTCGCCTTTGAATCATGCAGCTCCTTGCACACATCTTGCCTGCTGTAAAACTCCAGTGCAGCAGCTGTAGATTCACTGAACAACTGAAGATAAAAAATCAGTAAGGTGTGGCTGAAGGAGTAGTTTCCCAAACATGCTACCTGCTGCACAAGAAAAAGTCATAATATTACTTGCCTGAACAGCAAGTCTC